AAATATGCTCACTGGGACTGAGAAGTGTTTGTTGAATTAAATTAATACTATTTTCGAAAATTCTGGGGGAGTACTCAGGCAGCCACAGCCCTTCAGGCGAACTCCATTCTGAATAGGAGACGAGACCACGTTTACAACTGAGTAATTTGGGTACGAGGAAAAAGCACCCACAAAGGCATTTTATGACCTCTCCTACTGCAGACTTTTCCCTCCAAGATAAACAGTATTAGGCCTTATGGAGTCTGCCTGTGTAAATGTTTGCTTTTTCCTGAGAAAGAGGCCATGGAAATTTACCTGTATCACAAATCAAAAGTCTAATCCAATTTCACAGTTAATTTTAATGTTTACTTGCAGGACAATAGATTATGTTTTTATGGATACATTAAAGGACAATTTTATGAAGTTGAAATTTTTGCTCATGTAGAAGAGAGAGGGAGTAATAGAAAAACCTGTCCCTAAATTTTTATTAAATAAATACATGATTTAAAGGGCCCAGTAAAGTAATGCACATGTGAGGAAAATAAGTCTAGTATTATTATTACTATTTTATTTTTATTCATTTTTTTATAGCAAGTTGCAGAAAGCAAGTTTTATTAGTAAGAAAGGACACTTGGGGCGTGGAGCGGGCTGACCCGAGGGGTGCGTAGCAGCCCAAGTCTGGTATTATTACATACCGCACCTGGAATTACAAAGGAGTGAGGAAGACATGGGTCTGGGGGCCAAGCAGCCTGTATTCATACCCCAGCTCCATCGCTAAACTGACAAGTGAATCTGGGCAAGCGGCTTAACTTGTGCCTTGTTTCCTGACCTAGAAAAGGGTGAAGGTGAGACTGAAAGAAGATATATATGTAAAGTATAAGAACTGTGCTTGGCCCTGAGAAAGCCCTCCATTAATATTAGCGATTACTATTATTACTACAAACAGAACCTCCAATCGTCAACAACCATAAACACAGGACAATAAAAAATAAAATAAAAACAGAAATGTATCCCTCTTATAATAGCACAAGAGTAAATTTCACAAAGCCCTGGAAAGATATAATTACTACAGTTAAACACTGAGTTCTAGAAAGTCTAGAACTGGTTCTCATCACCATATTTTAATGATGAAATCTGAAGACTCAAATATAATTAAAATAACAAAAATGCCAAAGTAGAGAAGTCTTCCTTTATAAGACACTCCCATCTCGGTCACAGCTGCTGTGGGTTATTGTTGATCTAAAATCATAACCTCAGAGGCTTTCCACCTCATCGTCTAAAGAACTGTCCCATAAAATGTCTCATTATATTCTCATTACAGTCTTACCAGCAAGATGGAGTCAGTCCTCCCATCTCCATTTTCCAGATGAGGAAACTGAGTTTTCGGTGTGTAACTCACACACATGGAGAGTCCTCTGTGAGAGGGTACCCCTTCTTCCTGCTTTTGTTACATAGTGGGCATGGTTTTGTTAAGGCCAGCTGGCACCCATGTTTCAAAATATCTTCTGTTATTTATCATGACATTATCATTATTTTCAAAGTAATTTAACGCATGATCATTGTGAAACATTTTAAAGTATAAAAAAGTGAAAAGTTGTTCCACCACTCAAAGAGAACAACAGTTAACCAGCTAGTGTACTTTTTGTCTTTTTCTTTGCACATTCTAAAATAGTTACGATTGTGCTTTATGTACAATTATATCCTGCATTTTAATTTAATGTTATACCAAAAGTATTTTCATGTTACTGGCTTTAAAGAATCTGTTTTTAAAGAATCTACATCCCAAAACATAGATAAAGCTGTTTATCTCCATGTAAAACTCCTAGAAGAAAACATAGGGAGTAAATTTGCAGACATTACCTTCAGTAATATTTTTACTGATATATCCCCTCGGGCAAGAAAAATAAACATATGGGATTACATCGAACTTAAAAGTTTTTTTCACAGTAAAGGAAACCATCAATAAAACAAAAAGGCAGCCTACTGAATGGGAGAAGATATTTGCCAACAATATATCTGATAAGGGGTTAATATCCAAAATTTATAAAACACTCA